ACTCAACAAACTGTTCAAAAATGGGTCACACATGCAGCAATAAACAATAGCTAATATTACAAATTATACAGCATTAGTGATNTTCTAAACCGTTTTAATCTTTTCTAGGTTCAGTTCCTGTGTCAAGAAAAAAAATGCAATAAAGGTATAATTTTTTCCAATGTAATTTATTATATGTATACTTATCATTTAGACTCCTGCTGCTCATAAAAAGAGGTAAATAACTCAAGTTGCATGACTTTACATTTATAGCATTTTTTCACATTAAATTGTATCAAGGCCACAGTCTATGGTGGAAAGGTATATTGCATAAAAATTAAGTTGATTTAGTAATTAGATTTATCTTTGTAAGCTTCACCGTTGAAAAGAAACCACCACCTCTCCCACTTCGAGTTTCGCAAAATCATAGTTCAAAATTTACCCGACCATCATCACCTTTAATTTCAAATCATTGGGGTGTGGATTCATGTCCCTTACCAACTACACACAGCTCATGTTTTGAAGTAAATGTTGTTGTTACAATTATACTTAACTTTGTCAAATATTACAGATACATACACCTCCACCACATAAAAAATTTACATTTTCTCCAGTTATGTCAAAAAAGAGCTTAGCTCAGTCAATGGGACAACCTGCACATACATCAGTTTATTCATCCCCATCACAGTGCTCACCAACATTGATACATATGCACAAAGATCCAAATATTGGCTCACAATTTCATGCATCTGAATGCCCAAATGTATCTTACAGAGAACAATCTCAAAATGTATCAGGCGTTAGAACTTCACCCCATAAATGGACACAACCACTGTTGGTAAAGCACAAAAGTTTACAGTCTCATACCCATAAAACTGGTAGATGTGCCCCTGAAATCACTCAGTCCGTAAAGCATGAAAGTTTATATTTCTTTCGTGCTCATCAAAATGCATTTTGTGAAGTCACTCTATTGTCTCCTCCAAGTTCAAGAAAACATGATGGAGAAACTGATTCTGACTCAGTACCTATATCAAATCCTACATCAATGGATTTATCTAGAAATTCTTTGACCCATGAATGGTACTACCACAAAATCAGTAACACTATTGCATAAGGGATCCTAATGGAAAGGGAGAAAAAGATATATATTGCTATTTCATATCATGTAGACAATATGTATTACTATCTTTTTTAGAATTGAACTTTTATTATTGGATCTAATGCTACTGGGGAGTATTACTTGTCTGTATATTTTGAGAAAAAAATAAGTCATATAAGGTTATTATATACATAATTACTGCTGTTAATGACTATCGGCCTCCGGAAACCTCAAATGAGGAGAGAGGAGGTTTGGAATTTCGCAAGGGCCACTCCCCGAGATCCTGCCTGTAACCACAGCCGAGGGGTTGGTAACAACCCCAGGAGTACATGGGTAAGACCAACCGCATCAACGGTAGGAGCACAGCTGGTCATGACATGTCAGTGCTGCCGAATGGTCCAGCACCAACAGCATGATGCCATGGCTGTGAGGGAAGCATCTGAGCATGCTGCACCGGCAGGTGTCCCATAGCATGTCAGAGCCACCGACTGGTCCATCGCTAACAGTGAGAGCCACGAATGTGCAGGTGGGCATACGGATATGCCCATCACAACCAACAGTGGGATGTCAACGCCGCCGAATGGTCCGGCGCCAACAGCGGGCATGCCATGGGTAACCAATGGTCATGCCCCCTGCCACGGGCTGGGAACCCACTAAAAGAGCAGCTCAATTGGAGAGCCGGCTTAGGGTTTGTGCCCCACATTGTAAGAAGGGGCCATTCAGAGGAACCCCCCCTCCCAGGGGGCCCGAATAGAGACTCGGGATGGTTACAGGCAGACTACACAAATATGGGGGAGTGAGTGATGGGAACCAACACCGCCAGAGATGCCGCAGGCATCTCACTCCCCAAACACTTGTGGGAATATGAAATAAAATAGGTAAAAATGCATTGAATGCAAGGTCTTAACAATAAAACATAACATAAACATAAGTAGGAATAATAAGAGCAAAAGGCCCAACATAACACAAACTCAAACAGGAAAGTCACTGGGAAGCCATTAGAGTCTGGGCCACCCCCACCAGGGTACTCCTTGGAGTCAGAATATACCGAGTGAATGCCGATGACTTCCACCGACCCAGAACCTGGATAAGAGAGTCTTCGAGGCCACAAGCAGCCGCGGTAGTGGCTGCCCCAATACGAAAGCTGTGGCCATTAAAACGACTAACATCCATCCCTGATGCAGCTAATGCACCACGAATAGCAGCAACCAGACACCTACGGGACAGAGGAGACCCATCCCGAAACACAAACAGGGACCAGGCTCAGGGCCTCTTACCGCCAGGTAGGCCAACAGGGACTTCACTGGACAGATTAG